CTCATGATTTTTTCGGGCTCGATGATCGGCTCTGATGCAGGGCGAGTCATGGATGGCGGGCGGTGGCGAGGCAATTGGCTGGTGGTTGGGATATATGGGCGAAGCAAGCTGACGTGGAACGAAGGGCTGATCTACCAGTCGGTCGGTAACAGTAGGTGCGCGGTTACTGGCGTGATCATGTGGCTGATTTGGAATGGGCCACAATAGTGCGGTCGAAGTTTTGGTACGTCGAGCAGTCGCAGATTTTGCGTGTCGAGCAGTACGTAATCCCCAGACTGGTATGTGACTAGGCGGCGGTGGCGGTCAACGTTGCGCTTAGCGATTGAGAAGAATAGAACGAGAATGAAATGAACTATGAGTGAAGTGGGTACAAGTACTAACCCTAATTGGGTTGTACCCCCTATGGGATACCCCACTATAGCCTACACAAAAGCATAAGCTATAATGTTCTGACACACCCCCATAGGCAAAGTGGGGGAGAACAAGGGGTCACAAGACCAGTCAAGCAAAGCAAAGCAAAGCAAGCTCAGGGTGGATCACAACGTCACCACACAGTCCGAGCATAAGGTCAAGGCCACAAGGCCAGTTCACATGCAGGAGTGCACATATATATATAACACTAAACAAGCAAGAGCAGGTATAAATATATGTGCAAGAGTACAAGTAAGATCAAGAGGTGAGCAAGTGAGGTAAGACAGGTACAAGTCCCCGCTGAGTGCAGAAGCGCTGATGATCACAAGGCGGAAGTGCCTTGGTGAAAACATCAGCAGTGTTGGCCTCAGAGGCCACGTACGCAAGTCGCAACTGACCACGCTGCTGTAGCTCACGAGCAAGAAAGTAGCGGAAAGCAATGTGCTTCGTTCTGTGCTCCAGGCGCTCCTCTCGACACAAGGCCAGCATGGCCTTGTTGTCTACGTACAGCACTGGAGGAGAACGAGGCGGCTCTCCAAGGTCAGTCAGCAGGTAGGTGAGCCAGCGAAGCTCCTGTGCAGCCATGGCCCTGGCGTAGATCTCAGCCTCACAACTGGAGCCGAGAACAGAAGACGAGCGAGTAGCCCGCCACGAAACAGAGCCGGAACCAAGACTGAAGGTGTAACCCTGCGACGACCGCTGCGTAGCCTGGTCGTCAGCCCAAGAAGCGTCCGCGTGCCCAGTGAGGACCACTGGACTCCGCCCTCCAAGCACTAGCCCCATGCCCGACGTACTGCACAAGTAGCGCAACACCCTCTTCGCTGCAGCCATGTGCTCTGGTCGGTGTCTCCCAGGAGCAACATAGCGTGCCAAGATGCTAAGACGGTATGCAAGGTCAGGTCGTGTGCAGGTCATCAGGTACATGAGGCAGCCAACAAGCTCTGGGTACGGGCCGCTCGACTCTACGGACTCATCCGAAGGCAGAGCTGAGAGCGAGTGGCGAGTAGACAGAGGAGTGGCCTGAGGCGAGGAGTACGTGAAGCCGAAGCGCTGAAGGACCTGCTGCACCATGTGTGACTGAATCAAGGTAATGGTGCGGCGTTCTCTGTCCCGAGTGATCTGCAAGCCAAGGTAGCTGCGCAGTTCACCCAGGTCTGTGCACGTGTGTCTCTTCTGCAGCTCGGACTTCACGTAGGCGAGTCCAGCAGTGTCCGCTGTGGCAAATACCAAGTCGTCGACGTACACGAGGATGTAGAACGGCGGCAGACTGAAGGTCTGAAAGTAGTCAACTCCCTGCCGCTGACTGAAGCCACGAGCCACGTACCGCGCCTTGAAGACAGGTGGAGAGCCCGGCGGCCGCTTCACCCTGAAGATCCACATGCCACTGACGATGTTCGCCCCAGGAGGGGGAACCGCGTCAACGTAGGTGCCTGTGGACTTCTAGGAAGCCATCTCTGCATCCATAGCTGCCTGCCACTGAGAAGAGTAGGGACCCTCTATCGCCTCAGCGTAAGAGCACGGAGTCGGGATGTCAAGTGCATCCGGGTCTCCCTCAGGGGTAAGGAGTACGGACATGAGATGAGGTGAAGCAGCAACCAAGCACTGGAACTCCTCGTGCCTGTCCTCAAGGACGTCCGTGCCAAGGGCACACTCACCCTCGACGGACGGAGGACAGACAGACTCAGACTCAGCGACAAGACTAGCAGCGTAGTCTAGACGACAGCGAGCAGCAAAGTCGACGAGCTCAGCAACTAGAGCAGATGCAGCAGCGGACTCAAAGGAAGGGTCAGTGACGACAGTAGCAAGGAGACGCGTGACAGTAGGACTGGTAGCACGGAGAGAGTCCGACTCCGGGTCGGAAAGAGCAGGAAGAGAGGACTCAGGAGGAGAAGGCAAAGGGGCACGCAGAGGAGTAGTGGACGGACGCAGAGACACCCGGTGCGTGCTAGGGAAAGGAGGAGGACGCTGACGCGAACTGCGACCACTAGTGCGAGCAGCACGAAGAGGCGACGCAAGACGAGACGCAAGCTCACGACGCTCAGCAAGACCTCTAGTAGGACCAGTGTAGGGAGAGGGAGAAGGCAGTGGGGAGGCCGGCGGTAACTGTGACTGCGACTGGACAGGCGGTGGACCCTCTAAGAGAGGAGGAAGACCAAGAACCTGCTGAAGGAGCGGAACAAAGTACGGCCGAGGCCGCGCGGCGGCATCAGACACAGCAGGGACAGCACCAACACCCTCAGCACCTCCGGCAGCACCAGCGCCAACAGCACCTCCAGCGGCAGGACCTCCAGCAGCGCCAGTAGCACCCGCAGCACGACCACGAACAGGACCAACACCCTCAGCAGCTCCAGCTCCAGGCGGACCCGCAGGCCCAGCAGCTCCGGGACCGGCGGCACCAGCACCCTCAGCGGCCGAAGAAGCGCCAGCTCCAGCAGTACGCCTCCAGCGGCGAGCAAACCACTCACGCAGCTCCTGTGGAGAGAGTGGCTCCCGCCAAGACGAAGCACCCGGAGAACCTCCACGTCCAGTACCGCCAGGCGCCACAAGGGGAGGTCCAGTGGCCGCAGGCTCCATACCTCCAGGCTCAGCAGCTCCAGACGCAGCACCCCCAGGCTCAGCACCCCCAGGCGCAGTACCCCCAGGCTCAGCACCCCCAGAGGCAGCACCCCCAGTAGTAGCACCCTCAGGCTCAGCACCCCCAGGCTCAGCACCCCCAGACTTGGCACCCTCAGCAGTACCTGAGTCACCAGCAACCTCGACCGGCTCGACTGCATCGACCTGGGACACACCTGAAGGGGCAGGACCCTGAGGGGGAAGGGGGTCTACCGGGGGGGGACCTGGCACAAGGAAGTGCGGCGGCGGCGGGAGGGAAGGAGTGCGGTAGGGGAAGAGGCGGTAGAAGGGGACCGACTCGTCGAACGTGACGTCCTGGGAGGACAGAACACGACAAGAGGAGGGGTGGTAGAACTACCACCCTGGGGCGTCAGGGGGGAAGCCCAGGAAGACACAGGGAGCAGCACGAGGGGATAGCTTGTCCGCAGACAAGTCGCGGACAAACGCCCAAGATCCTCAGACACGGAACGCAGATGCATCGCCGACCTTCCCCGTCCACAGCAGAGCTGGGGAGGTCTCCAGCCGGGAGACCCTGGGGTGAAGGTTGAGCTGATGCGCCGCGTACGGAACCGCAAACAGCCACAGAAAATTGGGGGCAGCTGCATGCATCATGGACGTACGAGCGACGTCCATGACCATGCCAATGCGGCGCTCTGCAATCCCATTTTGCTGTGGAGAGTCCGGAAGCGTAAAGGTCTGGCGAATCCCCCGTGCACGACAGTAGGCCCGCAGAAGGCCAGAGGAGAACTCCCCACCTCGGTCAGAGTGCAGACGCAGAACAGGAAAGTCCGAGCCGAAGCTCCTCCTGAGCTGGAGACGAGCTGCGCGGATCCAGTCGATCAACACCTTAGTGACATCACCCTTGTTGCGCAAGGGGAAGACTGTGGTGTAACGCGAGTAGTCGTCAACCACCACCAGGAAGTAGCGCTCGTGACCCTGCCCACGGACGCGGGCCGGGCCCCACACGTCCATGTGAAGTGTCTGCAGAGGAGCCTCTGTCGGGGGAAACTGGGAGGAGTGAGGAGCAGCCCGAAGGCGCCCCTCTACACAGGGGACACAGGAAGGTCCTGGTCCCGAAGGAAGGGGAGGGAGAGACCGGGGGAGACCAGAGACAAGGACACGGGAAGCCATGCCCCGAAGACGAGGCAAGGAGGGGTGGCCAAGACGGTGGTTCCACAAGAGAGTCTCGTGAGACAGGAGGCGACACGAACAGGGGGCAGACTCAGGACCAGACCGGGACGCAGCAGCAAACACCTGACCCAACGCAGCTACCTGGCCAGACGCAGGGACAGTAGGAGACTCAGTGGTCAGGGTGTAGAGGCTCGACCCTGGCCGACGCGAGAACGTGGCCAGGTGCCGGCCTGTGCGTGCGTCCGTGCAGTGGGTCACCCGCTGACTCGCAGGAGTAAACTGGTGAACCCCCGCATCCTGCTGGTCAGCACCACTCACCAAGTTCGTCGAGAACGAGGGGAGGTACAGACCAGACAGGGTGCCCGAGGGGGCAGCCGGACACGGGAGGACAGTGGAGAAGTGAGAGAGGACAGGACCCCCAGAGGGGTCAGCCAGGGAGACTGGCTGTACCAATGCCCGGGTCGGGCGGGAAACACCGGTAAACAGTCACCCTCCTCACTAATAGTCACAGCATACATGGCAGCAAGGATAGCATCAAAGTCAAGATCAAAGATAGCTACACCAGCCCTAGACAGCTCTCCCCAGCGGGGAATCTCACTAGCCTCGGGGAACTGCTGACGCCAAGCGTCCGTCAGGCGGCCAAAGCAGCGCTGGGTGGGGTGGGCACCCCCACACTGCTCACCCGCGCAGTCGCCGGAACGAAGGGCGTAGGCGCACGGACCAGTACCCCCACCCCTCTGACGCTACGTGTACCACTTACGGAGCTGCTGGGGCGGGGGGATGTCCCTCGAACGCTGCTGCTGCTGCTGCTGCTGCTGGCGCGGACCACTAGCAGAGCCGCTCCGCTACGGGGCACCACCCCGACCAGCTCCACCCCCTCCGCCACCGCCGCCTCCACCTCCGCCACCACCGCCGCCTCCACTCCCACCGCTGCCGCCGCCACCGCCGCCTCCTCCGCCGCTGCCACCACCACCACCGCCTCCGCCACTACTCCCACCGCCACCCCCACTCCCTCCGCCGCCTCCACCGCCACCTCCACCGCCCCCTCCAGCTCCACCCGCGCCCTTGCCCCCCTTGCCCTTGCCAGGGCGGCGTCTCCCGCTAGGGGCAGACGCCGCGCCGACTGTCTCAAGATCAAGCAGGTTGGCAGCAGCAGCAGAGGCAACAGAGGGCAGTAGGGGGGAAGGAGAACACCCCTCAAAGATGGGGGTGCGAGGGTCACCACGAGAGGCTCCGACAGCGACGATGCTCTTCTCCGCCGCTAGGAGGGCCTTCTCGAGGAGGTCGACAGTGAGAGTGGTGGGACAGACTGAGAGAAAGTGGTCCCTGACTACGCGAAGGGAGTCAGGGAGGCGTGTGACTATGTAGTAGAGAGTGATGTACATGGGGGGGGGGTTCTTGGCGCACAACTAAGCAGGAAGGGCGGCGCGGTAGCGAGTGTCACTAGTGCGGAGGTGCGTAATGAGGTCAGCGACAGTGGGAAAGGCGGTGAGATCAGGAAAGAGGTACGGTAGCATGAGACGGCTCAGTGCAGCAGTGGCAGGGGAAGAGTAGCGCGCAACTACAGCGTCGTACAAGGTCTGAGCACTCTTGTACTGACTAAAGTGCGCGCGCTCAGTGGTGGGCAAGTGGCGACGCACAGCAAGACGTGCAGCAGCATCGCGGGTGGCCCACTGAGAGCGAACAGTGGGGTCAGCATCAGCAGCAGGGGCAGGAGAGGCGCCAGAGGTGAGGTCAAAGAGGGAAAGGCCGTCCGCCCTATCGCACTGTAAGAACAGCTGCAGGTTGTCGACCCAGACCTCAAAGTCAATGGCTCGACCCTTAGCGTCAAAAGTGGAGTAGTGCAAGCAGTAGGGGAAGGGCACGCAAGTGACAGCGGTATGGTGCTCACCGGGCAGGGCAGGTCGGGCGGCTCGGCGACTCGGCGGCTCGGCTGCTGGGCGGCTCGGCTCCCGGGCGGCTCGGCGGCAGGGCGGCTCGGGTGTCGGGCGGCTCGGGTGCAGGGCGGCTCGGGGGCGGGGTGGCTCGGCTGCCGGGCGGCTCGGGTGCAGGGCGGCTCGGGGGCGGGGCGGCTCTGTTGCACTGCGGCTCGGTGGTCCGGCGGTGCGGCGGCTGCTGCTGGGCGACTCGGCTGCTCCGGTACAGGGCGGCGTGGCGGTCGGCTGCGTGGGCGACGGGGCCGCGTGGGTGAGGGCGGCGAGGCCGCGTAGGTGAAGGTGGCGGGGCCGCGTAGGTGAAGGCGGCAGGGGCCGCTCAGGTGAAGGCGGCGGGGCCGCGTTGGTGAGGGCGGCGGGGCCGCGTAGGAGAGGGCGGCGAGGCCGCACAGCTCAGGGCGGCGAGGCCACGATAGGAGGGCGGCGGGGCCGCAAGAGCAGAGCGACGGGGCCGCGATGTAAGGGCGGCGGGGCCGCGACCGCAGGGCGACGGGGCCGCGATCAAAGGGCGGCGGTGCCGCGATGTAAGGGCGGCGGGGGCCGCGACGTAAGGGTGGCGGGGCCGCGAGAGCAGGGGCGGTAGGGCCGCGATGGAAGGGCGGCGGGGCCGCGACAGCAGGGCGACGGGGCCGCGAGGTAAGGGCGGCGGGGCCGCGAGAGCAGGGGCGGCGGGGGCCGCGATCAAAGGGCGGCGGGGCCGCGAGAGCAGGGGCGGCGGGGCCGCGATGTAAGGGCGGCGGGGCCGCGTCGTAAGGGCGGCGGGGCCGCGACAGCAGTGCGACGGGGCCGCGAGGTAAGGGCGGCGGGGCCGCGAGAGTAGGGGGCGGCGGGGCCGCGATCAAAGGGCGGCGATGCCGCGAGAGCAGGGGCGGCGGGGCCGCGATGTAAGGGCGGCGGGGCCGTGAGGTAAGGGCGACGGGGCCGCGATCAAGGGGCGGCGGGGCCGCGATCGTAGGGTCGGCCGCTAGGGCGGCTCGGTAAGAGAATGGCCCGAGGCGCGACTCGGGATGAGTGGGCTTCGCGCAGGAAAAAAAAATCGAGTGGTCGGCCCTAGGCGCAGTTCCCACAGGGGAACCTGCTCGATACCATGAGAAGAATAGAACGAGAATGAAATGAACTATGAGTGAAGTGGGTACAAGTACTAACCCTAATTGGGTTGTACCCCCTATGGGATACCCCACTATAGCCTACACAAAAGCATAAGCTATAATGTTCTGACAGCGATGACGTTTGCTTTTTTAATTGCTTCTGCGGCTCTGGTGCTGGCAGCTTGCAGAATTTCGGCGAATTGCTGTGCATGTGGTGTTGGGTTGTCCGCACTCGGCGTCATGGGCACTGTAAGGTTTTGCCCGTAGTTCAGGTAGAAGGGGGACTGCTGCGTCGTCGCTGACATGGCATTGTTGTACGCGAACTCGATCAACGGTAGCTGCTGCTCCCAAGTCGTGGGGTCGTCGCACATGGCACGAATCAACTGCTCCATCGTCTGATTCGTTCGCTCCATTTGAGCGTCGGTCTCAGGGTGATACGACGAACTGAACTGTAGCCTAGTCCCGAACTGCTCCAAGAGGTTCTTCCAGAAGTTGCTGGTGAACTTTGTGTCCCTAACGCTGATAATCGCTGCTGGTATCCCGTGCAGGCGAACAACGGCTGCGATGAACAGACGAGCGGTCTCCTCGGCTGAGATCGACTTTTTGCACGCAGCGAAGCATACCATCTTTGTCAACCTGTCAACGACGACCATCACCGCCTCGTTACCCTCAGGGTTCGAAGGTAACCCTGTGACGAAGTCCATGGCAACCTGCTGCCAGGCGCGCTCGGGCGGTGGTATCGGCTGCAATTGACCCGCCTTCCGCTTCCTCGAGCTTTTCATCACCTGACACGTGGGCACAAGCCCACATGCTGCTGTACGTCGGTCAACAGCTCAGGCCAGTAGTAATACCGCTGTAGTTGCTGTCGCGTTTTTTCTACCCCAAAATGTCCCGAGGTAATTCCGTCGTATGCCTCGTGCAGTAGCAGCTCCCTCAGTAGTGAGTACGCGGGTACCCAGATGCGGTTGGTGCCTGTTTTTACGTAATAAACTCCTTTAGCTTATGCTAGTTGCTGTGAGTTTCCAGTCGTGAAAAATGGGTCGGTGCAGTTTCCATGGGTGAATAGGCCTGTTAAGAGCGGGTTGGTTTGGGCGAGTAGGATGGCGTGGAGTTGGGCGGTAGGGCGGGTGAGTGCGTCGGCGATGTTGGATGTAACCGTGTAGTGGAAGTTGGACTCGAGGTAGTCCAACCAGCGAATCTGTCGCGGATTGAGATTTGGTTGGGCACGTAGGTACTGTAGTGATCGGTGGTCTGTCCGTACTGTCACGTTGGCGCAAGTCAGGTAACACCGCCAAACTTTGAACGCGTGCACTATCGCCAACATTTCGCGGTCGTGTGTCGGGTAGTTGCGTTCGGGCAGGTGCAGCTTGCAGGAATCGTACGCGATTGGCTGGAGGCTGTTCTCGAAATCCTGCAACAGTACTGCTCCCACAGCGATGTCACTTGCGTCAGTGACGAGCTCGAACGGACGGTGTGGATCTGCGATGTGAAGCACGGGCGGTGAGCACAAAATGTTTTTTAGGGCCAAGAAGGAAGCTTGCTCTTTCTCCCCCTACGTGTACTCAACCCCCTTCATTAGCAGGTCTGTCAACGAGGCAGTCAGCTTCGCCATGTCGGGGACGAACCGTCGCACGTAGTTGACGAACCCCAAAAAACTCTGCAACTCGGTCAAGTTGGTCGGCGCGTGCCATGCTTGAATCGTCGCAATTTTCTTCGGGTCTATTTCCACTCCTGCAGCTCAAATAACGTGTCCCAAATACTCCAGGCGGTCCTGTAAAAATTCACACTTAGATGCTTTTGTCAGTAGGCGGTTCTCACTCAGTATTTTAAAAACTGCTTCGATGTCCTGTAAGTGTCAGTAGATCTGCACTGTGGATGCCCGATTGATCCTAGAGAGGGTTACAGGCGCGTTCGCCTGGGGGGTTATGGGCGCACTGACCCGCTACTGAAACAAGCCCTTTATCCTAATGGTCTAGTGGTTGTGATTCTGACATGGTATCAGAGCGGTCTCGGGTTCGATTCCCGGTGTATTCACATGTAGGCCGTTGCCTCTATGCTTAGTCCTGGGCCTCTCAGTGTGGGGGGGTGTTAGTAGATCTGCACTGTGGATGCCCGATTGATCCTAGAGAGGGTTACAGGCGCGTTCGCCTGGGGGGTTATGGGCGCACTGACCCGGTACTGAAACAAGCCCTTTTATCCCAATGGTCTAGTGTTTGGGATTCTGACAGTAAGTGCTGTGCTCTGTCAGGGCTGTAAATCAGTATGTCGTCCAGGTATACAAAGACGCACTCATCTAAGAGCGGGCGGAAAGCTTCGTTCATGGTCATTTGAAAAGTGGCGGGGGCGTTGGTTAGTCCGAAAGGCATGACAGTGTAATCGAAGGATCCGTAGCGTGTGCGAAATATGGTCTTAAGGCAGTCGGGCGGATTGACGCGAATCTGGTGGTAACCCCCTCGGAGGTCGATTTTCGAGAAAACCCGGGCTGTGCGCAGTTGGTCGATCAGTTCGTCGGCTCACGGGATGGGGTAACGGGATTTGATGGCAACCCTGTTCAGTGCTCGGTAGTCTATGCACATGCGAAATCCCCCGTCTTTTTTTCGGTGTGAACAGTATCGGTGCTGCGAATGGCGACGAATTAGGGCGAATCAACTCCTTCTCGAGCAGGTAATCGAGCTGCTTCCTCAGTTTGTCCAGTTCGGGCTAGGTCTGTCGGAACTGTCGCTTTACTGTTGGCTGTGCCCCCGGTTCTAACTCTATCCTGTGGTCGTGCGGTCACTAAGGTGGCAGTCCCGTCCGTAAATCATCTGCGAAAATGTCGCTGTACTGCTTCAACAGTGCTGCCAGGTCACCCGGTACGTCGGTAAGCAGTTTCTGTAAATCCCCTCCTTTGTCTGCTGCCTCGGCTTCCCGAATGTCGACCGCGTACACGTCAGCTCTGAGAAGAATTGAACGAGGATGAAATGAGTATGAACGAAGTGAGTACAAATAGGAAACCCTAATTGTGTTGTACCCCCTATGGGATACCCCACTATAGCCTACACAAAACAAGTAAGCTATGTGTTCTGACACACCCCCATAGGCAAAGTGGGGGAGAACAAGGGGTCACAAGACCAGTCAAGCAAAGCAAAGCAAAGCTCAGGGTGGATCACAAAGTCACCACGCATTCCGAGCACAAGTTCAAAGGCCACAAGGCCAGTTCACATGCAAGATCATATATAGAGGTATACAAGAGTCAAGCAAGCAAGAGCAAGAGTATATATATGCGAAGGTACAAGCAAGGTCAAGAGGAGAGCAAGTGAGGCAAGACAGGCACAAGACCCAACTACGTGCAGCAACGCTGATGATCACAAGGCGCAAGTGCCTTGGTGAAGACATCAGCAGTGTTGGCCTCAGAGGCCACGTACGCAAGTCGCACCTGTCCACGCTGCTGTAGCTCACGAGCAAGAAAGTAGCGAAGAGCAATGTGCTTCGTTCTGTGCTCCAGTCGCTGCTCTCGACACAAGGCCAGCATGGCCTTGTTGTCTACGTACAGGACTGGAGGAGAACGAGGCTGCTCTCCAAGGTCGGTCAGCAGGTAGGGGAGCCAGCGTAACTCCTGTGCAGCCATGGCCCCAGCGTAGATCTCAGCCTCACAACTGGAGCCGAGAACAGAAGACGAGCGGGTAGCCCGCCACGAGACAGAGCCGGAACCAAGGCTGAAGGTGTAACCCTGTGACGACCGCTGCGTAGCCTGGTCGTCAGCCCAAGAAGCGTCTGCGTGCCCAGTGAGGACCACTGGACTGCGCCCTCCAAGCACTAGCCCCATGCCCGACGTACTGCACAAGTAGCGCAACACCCTCTTCGCTGCAGCCATGTGCTCTGGTCGGTGTCTCCCAGGAGCAACAAAGCGTGCGAGAATGCTAAGAGGGTATGCGAGGTCAGGTCGTGTGCAGGTCATCAGGTACATGAGGCAGCCAACAAGCTCTGCAAACGGGCCACTCGACTCTACGGACTCATCCGAAGGCAGAGCTGAGAGCGAGTGGCGAGTAGGCAGAGGAGTGGCCTGAGGCGAGGAGTACGTGAAGCCGAAGCGCTGAAGGAGTTGCTGCACCATGTGTGACTGAGTCAGGGTAATGGTGCGGCGTGCTCTGTCCCGGGTGATCTGCAAGCCAAGGTAGCTGCGCAGTTCACCCAGGTCAGTGCACGTGTGTCTCTTCTGCAGCTCGAACTTCACGTAGGCGAGTCCAGCAGTGTCAGCTGTGGCAAAGACCAAGTCGTCGACGTACACGAGGATGTAGAACGGCGGCAGAGAGGTGTCGGTGCGCAGAAACAGCGACGGGTCGGCAGTGGAAGGAGCAAACCCAAGTGCCGCGAGCGTAGTCCTCAGTGTGTCGTGCCACTCACGTGGCGCCTGGCGGAGACCGTAGACTGGACGCCGGAGACTCCACTGGGTACCAGGAGGAAAAGACCCAGTGAAGCCAGGTGGGCGACGCAGCCAGATCTCCTCGTGCAGGCTGCCCAGCAAGAAAGCTGTGCTGAAGTCGAGAGAGTGCAGCTCGTAGTCACGGTGAGCAGCAACGTGCAGCAGAACCCGAAGAGTGGTCATCTTCGGGGTGGGGGAGAAGGTCTGAAAGTAGTCAACCCCCTGCCGCTGACTGAAGCCACGAGCCACGTAACGCGCCTTGAAGACAGGCGGAGAACCCGGCGGCCGCTTCACCCTGAAAATCCACATGCCACTGACGATGTTCGCCCCAGGAGGGGGAACAGCGTCAACGTAGGTGCTTGTGGACTTCCAGGAAGCCATCTCTGCATCCATAGCTGCCTGCCACTGAGAGGAGTAGGGACCCTCTATCGCCTCCGTGTAAGAGCGCGGAGTCGGGATGTCTGGTGCATCCGGGTCTCCCTCAGGGGCTAGCAGTACACACGGGAGACGAGGTGAAGCGGCGGCCAGACACTGGAACTCCTCCTGCCTGTCCTCAAGGACGTCCGTGCCAAGGGCACACCCACCCCCGACGGACGGAG